TGCCCCGAATTTGAACGCTGATTGCGAATAACACCGATGTTGACGCTGAAATAATAGAGAGATAATCTGGCTGCATTAACTCGTAACTGCTGACTATCTGCTGCTTTGGGGAAGCTTTTTTGCAGTTGGCTGCATCCATAAGTAGTGTCTGTTTCTGTACCGCGAGCCATTTAAATCAGTCCTCAGTAAATGTGTGTTATGTTACAAATAGCACACGACTGCTGCTGCTTGACAGAGGATTTTCAGTCAACTGTTCATCTGTGTTTGAATAGTTTAAGACGTGAAAAAAAAGACACTGACACAGGGGGGAGTGACAAAGTATCGGATCTCTTGTTTGTTGGAGAATACACACATGAGCGTCAGCAGCATCAATAAAAGCCTTGCAGGGCATTTCACCGCCTAATCCAGCAGGCATAATAATCCCAAAATACCACTCTGTGTGTGTGTGTGTGTGTGTGTGTGTGTGTGTGTGTGTGTGCCTACATTGCACAGCTCATGAACCCACGTTACACACATCTCCTATACCTCCATTTCGAGTTTGTCTGGCTCTCACCAGCGGATACTGTCACAACAAGAAAGGTTTGGATGCTCAGCAAGCCAGAATGAGCCTTTAGAGACCTGTGCTTTCATATTCTGCTAAATTATATTTTTGAACAAAAGACTCGTCATTATTTAGATGTTGTGGCTTTAACCAGGACATTGTGATTTTATATTATTATTATTGCTTTTAAAGATCAAATCCTTAGTAAATCATTTAAATGATTTTCTGTTGTTGTGAAGCTGGTGTCAACCATAGTCTGTATATAAGAAGTGGATGTAGTGGACTGCTGTTATCAATCCTTGAGTTCTGCGATTCCCATCTTGAAATGCCATATAGCCATATAGGCTATTCTGCAACCAATGAATGGAAGTTACCATATTTGGAATGCGGAGGAGTGACATAGAGACGCCGTATACTACTCTGGTGGTGGCAGTGTTGGGAACATAGAGGAGCGTGTTTGGGTTATCAGCATCTAAGAAACTAAATTCTTGACATCAATAGAATTATTAATGTCAGTAACAATTATTAATGATTATTAATAATAACGGGGCACCACCCTGTGAACAGGAACCAATAACCAAACAATAAAACTAAGTCTCATAATTAGTGTTCACTCATAATGTCAATAGTCTGAGTACTATTACACATTCAGAGTGAGAGTGAAGGTTTAAGTTCGAGCACAGGCCACTACATCCAGTTATTATTACACACATATGCACGAGTAATCACAGACAACTGCTCTTTAAAATATAACAGAGTTTATTAAATAAAATAATAAATGATCAAATCAAGTAATATCAAAATCAACAAACACTATCATACAATTATATGTCTAATACCTAAAGTCAAATGAATAAAGTGGGGTAGGGATATCTATATAGACATATATACATGTGTGTGTGTGTGTGTGTGGAAGCGAAGGGGGGGGGGGGGGGGGCTACTCAAACAGTGATGGTACGTAACCTAAAAAGGGGCGTGTGAGCCTACAAGCAAAGATGGCGGAGTCTAGGGACCCGCGACAAGATAGCTGAGAGGTGGCTACGTGTAACCACGTGGGACGGCGCACAATGTGGGTTGGGACAATAGATTATGCTACCACGTGTCTGAGAAGTTCACCCAAAATCAGTGAATTTAACTATGTGTGTGCGGGTTAGTAGGGAGAGAGAGAGAGAGAGAGAGAGAGAGAGCGAGAGCTCTCAGCGCGGTGCTCGGCGCTCGGCGCTGCAGTGAGAATGTGAGGAACAGCTGATCACTCGTAAAGTCTGCGGTCGGATACTGAACCGACCGGTCACGCTTGTACGGTGATAGTTGCGGTTCTCAATCTCACTCACAGAGCCGATTTAAAGAACAGAGAATAAAACCAAACAAAATAAAATAATCCCCAAAACAAAACAGATCTTTATCACTGCGGTGAGATGCGAGTATTGCTCTCGTATCACCCCGAAACTTGGTTGCTCCGCCACCGTGGTTTTGGTCTTTGAAGTGATAAAATCACAACCTCTACATCCACTAGCAGCGACGGATCTAATGTAAACAGTTACAGCAGGAAATACACAATATAACAGGACTCCGTGGTCCGCGATGCTTGCGCAATAACACGTTATAACACGACAGCAACTTAACGTAACAAGATACAGGAATAACAACGACATAACGAATAGGCTAAATTAAGCTAATGCTAAGCTAAGCTAGGCCCAGATACCAGTAACTCTTACTTGTAGAAGCTTCGTTCGGTAGGGTCTGGTTCCAGTGGTAGGAATCACTCTGTCCTCGATGAGTCGCTGACTCTCGGTGGCGCGGCCTTGGGGCTGGCTGGCGCAGACTCGGCCTCCTCGCTGCAGAGAGGGCTTTTTAACTTCGGCTGAGGGACGAGGTTTGGGTCGTCCTTCCCGGAAATCTTCGGCGAGGAAAGATTGTTAATCGTCCTTCTGCCGGCGGTGTGTACACAACAAGGGGGGA